GGCTGGGTGCATGTGCATGTGCGTATGGGTGGGTTGGTGGGTGCGTGCATGTGCAGGTGGGTGGGTGCGTCTGTGTGCGTGTCTGGGTGGTTGGGTGTGCAAACGTGGCGAGTGGGTGTGCGTGCTGGGCGGGTGGGTGGTTGCAGCCAGATGGGTGCGGCCGGGTGGGTCAGCCGGTGAGTAGGTGCAACCCCTACTCATGGGCGAGTGGGTGTGCGTGCTGGGCGGGTGGGTGGTTGCAGCCAGATGGGTGCTGGACGAGTGGGTGGTTGCAGCCAGATGGGTGAGGCCGGGGCCCTAAATATCTTTTTGCCATTAATTGGCTTTGGCATTTGCTAATAGTTGCTGAGTATTTCTGCATGCTCTAAAATTTCTCTTTTATTTGTAATATGAACTTGAAAATTTATTTGTATGCCCTTAATTGACTTTGGCATTTGCTAATAATTGCTGAGTACTTCTGCATGCTATGAAATTTTGGAATTTAACTTTAGTTTGGCAATATCTATGATATCGGTTGTGGGACTTGCAATTTATCTTCCGGGAGTTAGTCATTGTCCATCTTCAGTCCCGTTGATTGTATTTGAAACCGCATTGCTGGACATCTCTGGCCTCAGTCCCCCAGCTAGTAATCGCTCCATATGTGGTAGCATCTGTGGAACATGTGTCCTCCCAGTCTCCCATCTGCCAATGATTCCATTTGTGATCCCAGCTGGAGATATTCGAAGTTGTGGTTGCTCTGTGAGACGAACATAGTACATGAATTGCAAGGAGCCTGATCTCATAATCTTGATGGAGTGTCACAAAAATCATGCAAGTATCATAGATATGCATAATAGCATAGTCTCTCAAATGATGCAACTCAAAATGAGATGGAAACCAAGAAACGCAGGTCATATAACTCGACCTAATAGAAGAAAGAGTATCACGAACTCAAAATGATGAGCACTTAACAATATCTCAAGTCTCCTTCACTTAATAAGAGTTTCTATGCTGCCGCACACTTGCACTAGCCTTCAGTCAACCAGAACAGCGTTCAGGAGGTAAGTCACTATAGCTTTCTCTCTCTCACTTCCTCACAGTGTCTTTTCTCTCTCTTATCTTTGAGTCCTGGTCTACTCACACTCTCATCACATGCACACTCCCTATTCTCCAGCGCCACCTCTCTCATCTAGCGCAGCTCACAAGCCCAGCGCAACTCACTCTCATCTGGTGCACAAGAGCCACAACGCTTCCACACTATCATGCGAATGAGTATCTGCCTGGATGGGAGGCTGGCCAATCCTTTTGTAGTGTTGGACTGGGCTTGTGTGGTCTGAGCCAGCACCCAAGTGCCTTTGATAGCTTGCCCAGTACCTGTTGTTCCAATATGTGTGTCCCAGTACCTGTTGTTCCCATATGTATGTCCCAGTACCCTTTTCGCATGGTCTGCTGCTGCTTTGCCCGTTGGGCCTGCCTTTTGGACTTCTGATCTGGACCAGATTTGATCCTTGGGACTAACTTAGAGTGGGACTACAACCTTTGACACTCTGACGAACAGACATGTCCCTTTCTCAGCCTCAGAACTTACTGTTCACGTAGACAGTGACTCTCACTTTATAAAATGACTTCTCATTTCAGTCGGGATGTGAATGACAGTGAATGTGACCTTTGCGAAAAAACTTTGTCATTCAGTTGGATGCGACTTATACCTCATGGAACTTGTCTTGCAGTTGGATGCGACTCATACCTCAGGGAACTTGTCTTTTGAGATATTGCCTCGTGACTTAAGTTCTGGCCGAGCTGGCCCTACACGCTGGGTCTGCGTGGGATCTAAATTGTAACGGCTCTTTTAAATTTGTCAGGGATCAGGTCCGAATATATGCACTTGTTCATGTTGTAGGTCGTGGAAAGTACATGTTACATGTCAAGGATCAGGTCGAGATATATGTACTTGTTCGTGATTGATGTCCTCTTGTGTATGTATACTGATTATTTCTGTATGGAGAAAGTTGCACCAAATATGACAATGATAACCGTACATTCTACTCGGGGAAGGATGGTAGCAATGGCTAGAAACTGTGTTACGATCTACAAGGCATGTGGGAAATTACATATATGCTACACGTGCCCTGCACATCCTCTCTGCCCCCATGAGAAAAAAAAGAGCATCTAAACTGAATCATGGGCTACTGTTGCTTCATGCCTCACAGCAACACCGGGATAGGGGAGAAAAGAAGCATGAAAGCCTGCAATCTGTTTATCTATCTGCCTGTCTGTCTGTCCATCTCTCCACGCATGGTTAGGTCCGCAAAACATGAGTGAGGCTCCTCTGCCCAGCGGTAGTGTCCCCAAAAAACGAGCGAGACTCCTTTTCCCGTTCATATCCATCTGCACATATAATGAGACCAGAGAAAAAGGCAAGCACTGAACTAGAAACAAAAGAAAAACTTCCGAAAAACATTTTTTTGGGAGCCTCTGATGCATGGCCTGTTAGAATTTTAAAATAATTATTATTTTAAGAAAAAAATTGTGCACAATATTTCAAGCATGTTGGCCGGTAGGAAAACTATTTTTTCAAAAGAAATCGTTGCATATTTGCAAACTGGACAATTTTCCAAGTTCAGTTTTCATGAATACCTTGTTTAGTTTGTGTGTGTATGTGTGTGTGTGTGCGCGCGCATGTGTGTCTGTGCGAGCAGTTTAGATGTCGCGACATAGTCATTGGCAGAGTTTGTGCAGAATGGAATAACATCCTTCGCACTGAAGGAGGTGATGATGGTCCTCCACCTACGATAGACAATGGCCCCAGTCTCAGGGACAAAACCGTCACGGCATATGGTGGCGTACAGTAGTGCATCATTCGCGCCGACTGCAAGGAAGTTGGCGATCGGTCGTGCATCGTGAGACTTCCTGCCGTCCAACAACATCGTCGCACCACTATGAACGAACGTGTCTCAGACCTCTCTTAGCAAGTCGGCCACCTTAGTCCTCTGCGACGGAACCCCGGGACCACTGATTTCCTTAAAGGAGGGAAATCGCATCCGCACACCTATGTCAAACCGTTTGAGCGAGCTTAAGCGCGCGCTTAAAGACCCCCCTGTTGCGCTTAAACGTGAGGTGGGTGGGGTGGGGTGGGTAGTGTGCGGTTTGGAGTGGAGACCGCTTGAGTGGGGTGGGGTGGGGTGGGGTGGCTGCTACCCCCAGCAAGCCTCGTGCCCACCTTAAGTGGGGTGGAGTGGGGGTTAGGTGGGGCTGAACTTAAGGCGAGCACGAGGCTTGATGGGAGGAGTAGCCCAGGGGGAAAATAAAAACCGAACTCTCTACCAAAAAAAGAAAAAAAAAATGCAGTTTTTGATTTCCATGTTTCTATTTTCGGAATTAAAAAATTGAACGAAACAATGCACACATATTATAAAATGCCGACATACGGCTGCACACAATCTACGGCCAATAACAGTCGCAACATCTGAAAACAGAGTTATGTCATGAAAAACGCCATGAAAAATAACAAACGCGACCGTCGCAATAAGCGTATCATAAGAAACATGAAAGGTCAAAACATATGTGCACAAAGAAAGGTTTCACAATGAACCATAAACACGAAAAAAAAAAAAAAAAAAAAAGCACTGCCTGATGACGAAAAAATGATGCTAATGCGACACAAAGTAATGGAACATACCAAAACTACATAATGCGGTCGTATCTCTGACCACTAATAAACAAAAAGAAACTATGTTACCAGTTGTCCGATGGTAGGACGTCCTGGGCGGACAGTCAAGGGGGGCCCGGACGTCCGGGCCTAGACAACTCCATTTTTAGCAATTAAAAGCACGAAAAAGAGGGAAAAAATTGCGGGTGTCTTTTAGTTTATTTTTTATTTGAAATTCAACAACAGACTTCAATATCATCCCAAGGCAAAAGTTGTTCAGTTTCGTTTTCTGCATAACATAGTTATTTTTCAGATTTTTTTTAGGACTTTTTTTTTTTTTTTTTCCGGGCTTGGATAGACTGTCCGGGGAGGATGTCCAACTGGTTGTCCAAGCGCACAATCCCGAACGGTCAGGGGGGTCCCGGACGTCCGATTAGGTAACCTAGAAAAAAAGTCAATAGCGTCCACCACGTCTCGGTGGGTCGTGGTCCGTTCATCGCCACGTGCGAGTGTGCACCTGCGTGCCGCGTGTATTGGCAGGTCTTCTCTATTTGCCTCCTCTGCAATCGCGTATGTATGATCATCGTCCACCACCATGATGCCATCCCGTCTAATCTCCCTCCATGACACCAATATGGGGTGTCCGTGCCTGCAGTCGGCGAGCTTACCTGGCGCCATAGCTGGGCTCCACGCGGTACCTACACATGACGACGACCACAGTCAGTACGGTGGCAGCGGCCTGCTGGTGAGATAGCGAGGAGGACTTCATCTCTTCTCTCCCTCCTCCATCTCTCTCTCTCTCTCTCTCTCTCTCTATCTATCTATCTATCTATCTCTCTCTCTATCTCTCTCTCTCTCTCTCTCTCTCTCTGAGCTTTGGCAAGGTTTGCCAAACTATCCGGGAGTCACTGGAAAGCTACTCTTTCCAGTCTGTACCCCGGACTGTGGAAACATTTTGAAGGATACTAGGGAAAACATAAAATTTCGAGTCCATGTACACTAATTAGAATGGATGGGAATAGGGATATAGGAAAGGACAGCAGCGGTGGGTGGAACAGAATTGGGACTAAAAGGTATACCGGGTAAGGGCAAGGACGCAACCGGGTGATAGTGCGTGGGCCCGAATCATGTGGGTGTGGTAGGGCAGAATAGGAAGGCCTGGCGTCATCTCCAACCTCTCGCCTCCTATCGTCTCACCCTCTCAGCGTCATGCTTGTCGATGTATCGGCCTCTGTGTCCTGGGAGGCCCCACCACATCCGCCCCAAGGATCTGTGACACCTCCCTCAATCCATGAGTCGACACTCGTGAACCAGGCGCTGCACATCCACCTCCGCCCGTACCCTCAACGAGAGCATCTAACCTGCCACAACGCTCGAACCCAGCAAGCAACATGCACCTTCCTCGTCAACGATGTGGACGAGCGTCACCTCCCCAGGCCGGGTTGCTTCTTCCTGCTAGCCACTGTCTACTTCCTCATCTGGCTCCACGGCACGTGGGTGCGCCCGAGTAGAGATGCACCCACGACGCTCGTTGCCGCCTCTCCACGCTCTCGTGGCCTGCCCCCCACTGAGGCAGGCGCAAACAACCGTGTCCCACGATCTCGTGCCACACTGGGAGGAGACTGCGTCGCACCAACTCTCATGGAACCGAGCGCCACCGAAGCATCTGAGGGAAGTGTGGGGCTGCCAGGGCCCCATGAAACGGACTGCATGCGTGGAAGAACTCCTTTGGCTTCTTCGAGCCGATCCGTGATGTGCCTCCGCCGCGATGAATGCGCTGACGATATCGGGCCCGTGAGTCTCCCTCTCCCTCTCTATAACCGCATGCGACATGTCGCCACCTGCCTCCTCAACGAACCTGCGAGACTCCAATGTATGCGTGTGCACAATGACACTTGTGCCCTCCAGCATGGCATCCTCTGCGACCATGCCATGCACGTCCTTCTGAATGCTATGCACTCCTACTCCTACAGTCGTCGGCATCACCCTCCCCACTGTCTCCAGCTCACGTCTAGCCTCCATGTCACGAGCCATTGCATGTGTGTGCGGGTAGACGTCGGCTAGGGCCTTTGCCCTCACAGCCTCTTCCTCGTCCTCCCGCGCCTCTCGAGCCATGCACTCGTCCTTTGTTTCGGGTGCAGTCTCTCCCATGTTAATCGGTCGTGGCTGAGGCTGGACCACCTCGGTGTCGGCCTCCTGCACAAGAATGGCCTCACCCTCCATCATGGCAGGCAGAGTGGCCTCGAGTTCCTTCATGAAATCGCGCATGGACGCTGATTCCATAGCATGGTCCCCGAGTCCAGCCTGGTCATGATGTGCCCCCTCATGGGCCTCATCATCTACCTCCCTTAGACATAGACTACCACCGGGAGGTTCCCCGAGCGTCCCCAAGTCCCCTAGCGACCATGCGCTTCCCAACCCAGAGCCAACACCACCACCCAAATCTCCTTTCTGCCCTCCCTCCGTCCCCGCACCCGTTGACGACGCCGGCGACTCAGAATCCAATATGAGTTGTCTCTATGTGTTCTTTGGACCTTTCCGAAGTCGATGAAGCACCCGGCCCCTTCCGCGTCCCCCTGAATGATCGGCGTCATTTGATGAACCCCGCGCAGTGGAAGATACGCCCCCCGTCGTCGGACCATGTCTGTCATGGGCTCCTCGCATGCCTGGTATGCCCCGTTGTGTGGGCAGAGATGAGCTAGGCCCGACATGTCTGGGGGGATATAAGGTCTGACCGAGCGGCACGCCACGAGGGCTCCCCGATCTGGCCCAACATCCCTCAACTCGAGCGCCGCCCCTCGTTGTGTCCTCGAATATATCTCTGTCGCCACTGCGTTGATGAACCTTCTCAGGGTCACTCCATGCATCGTCGTCCTCTGCACATGGAGAACCTGCACCGCCGCAGGGGTGAAATCCCTCATCATGTACCTCGCGCTCCTCTCCACTAGAATCATCTCTCGGGTACGGCCTCAAAGTGGCGGCCTGGACCTCGAAAACATCCTCGATCGGCGGCGGTGGTCATGAACCACAAGCATCTCACCGCCACAACTGCGCCTGCGCATCATGATCCTCCTCTGATATCCTCTGGACCTCTGGTCCACCCCATCGCAGATAGCGTTTGCCTCCAGGCCACCCTCATCGTCCAACATGGACTCGTCATGAGTCCACGGAAGAACTTGAACCAGACCGGCCCCCACGCTATGAAGAGTCAGAAGTCGCATGTTGGCTGTGATCTCAACCAACTTCGTGACCTTCGGGAACAACAACCTCTTACGCTTCTTCGTTTGAGTACTCTCGTGGATGGCCCAGTTCCTCTCCATAGGAGAGGAGCACGTCCACATGTACATGAGACGAAGAGCGATACGTTGAAGCTCAGAAGCACAACCGCCATACTGTGACCACCACAGACCGCACTTGACAGGGTCTTGCTCCCCAAGACACATCTTTGTAGCAGCGCGCGCCCGCTCCCCTCCCCATGAGCAAGTTGAAGTCCGCATGTGACAGTCTCGCAACTGCAACACAGCGTCTCGGTACTCCTTGCGTCGCTCGTTAAGCCCTACGAAACACCCGCGGACGCGTCCGTGGGGTCGAGCTCGGAGGGCGGCCGTATTCATGTTTGCAGCCATGGTTGGCCTCGGCCGCACTGCGAACATGAATTTACCTGATTTTTCCTGAATAAACTAATGGTTAATATATATATATATATATATGGGGTTGTAGGGACTTTTAAGCCCTACACCCCCTTTTTTTTTTTGAAACAGATAATTTTATA